CCCCAAAACCCCAAAACCCCAAAACCCCAAAACCCCTAAATATTGGAAATTTACTGAAATTATAATTTTTCCCAACAAATATCAGTTTGGATTGAAGTTTTCAGTATTTTGCCAAAACTTGATTTTGCAGGCACTTTTAGATCAGGATTTTGAACGTGGGTTGAGATGAATTGATAGTACTCGTCAAGAAAATCAGGGTAGGTGCTGTAGGTATCTATTTCGATAGCAATATTCTTGGTGTCAGTTAAGGAGAGGGAAGGAAGTTCTTTTTGAGTAGATTTTATGAGGGAGAGGACTTGTTCGAGGGCTGATAGTTTTTCTGATTGCTTTGTCTTCTGTGAACAAGTACTATCTTCTTGAGTACTTTTGTTATCCTCTTGAGATGCTTCTACTTCGTTCTCTTTTGAAGGTTTCTTCAAAGATTTAACTTTCTTTGGCTTAAAATTGCTTGCTAATTGAAATCCTCCAAGATCAGCATCTGGATTATTCTTCTTTGATTTAGATTTGAGTTTGGAAGAGGCTAATTGGAATCCTACTTCTGAGTCATCCTCCATTTCTGTATCTTTTTCTTCAGGCTCTGGAGCACATCTCCAATTTCGGTCCTTCTTAAGCATAAAATCTACTTTGCTCCAGTAATCCATGATTTGAGTGCTTCCTGTGATTTTCGAAATCTTAGAGATGAGCTCTGGAAGATTTACTAGACTATCTCTAACAGTTCTACATGGAAGTTCCACTACCCTCCTCAGCACATCATCTTTCTTCACTTTCTTCTTAACTCCTGTCGCAATATTCATCATAACTACCTCCTTCTGGCTGCATTCCAGACTCTGGTCGGGAACATCACTAAAAGAAGTTGTGCTATAAAGATCTTCATCTATTGCTTCAAGGAACTTATGAGGCTGTAGCTTTGGCATAGCGTAATAGGTCTGTTCGAGGTCTTCTTTTTGGAGAAAATTGAACTAGAGGTGAGATTGGAGGCTTACTTTGAGAGGTATGAGCTTTTTAGAGGTGATTGAGAGGCAGAGGAGGTAGGAGAGGGTTGGGAAGGAGAGATTGGGGCAGTGAGGGGTAAGATTGAGGGAGAGATGGATGTGTTTTTGGGAATCTTGTGATTTTGGGTCGATCAGATACCTGAAATCTACAAATTTCTAAAGTATATGAGCTCCAGAGTAACCTACCCATGAATGATTAAACTGCATACTTCTTGTGATATGTGTCTTCAGAAGTTGGGTTATAGCTTGGGCGGATTTACTGTTCTCAGTATCATTGATAGTCTTCAAATAATAAAGACCATCTTCTTGCTTCTTCCTAGCTGGGAGGATGAATTCATCATCTTGAGTTTTAACTTCTTCAAGTTCACCAATCTAAAATTATCCAGATATTTTTACCTTAAATCGGGCTGCTTTTTCAAGATACTGAATAACTCTCTTCTTTTGTTTCTTGCTCTCTGCTGTGAAGAAGAACGCGTATTCCTTTTTCTCAATGTAATTTACTGCGAGCATTAGGTTATCTTTATTGTCACAATAGAATCCACTTTCGATTGTATCAGTCCATTCTCTCACGTTAAAGGCCAGGTCAGGGTTGTCCTCATCATTGAAATGATATCCAGACGTTTTAGGCACATCTGTGTTTTTTACTCTAAGAATATAGATTGAAGTCTTTGGGTTCAAGTCAAGTTTTCAGTGCAGAAGATATTCCATCAGTTTAATTATTTCAAGCTATTTTTGAAGTTAAGGGGTTTTGGGGTTTTGGGGTTTTGGGG